GACGTGGGCTGCAGAGATGGACAGAAGCCGTGCGCTGGAGGGTTTGGGGGTGGAGGCAGAAGCACTTGCAGCTGTGTGCAGTGGGTGAGGGCGTGAGCCTGCGGGGACAGCAGTGCCACAGCCCTGTGAGCCATAGGGAGGGCAGGGATGGGGAAGCGACTATGCTTAGGTCTGAGTCGGCTGCAAGACCTCACCGGATGGGTGGGGAGCAGGTGGGCCCAGCGGGCAGGCTGGGGTGGAGGCCAGGCAGGAGAGCAGGCTACAGTGTGGTCAGCCTCCAGCAAATGGGAGTCACGGAGTCATGGGGCTAGACAAACCACCCGAGGTTCCTGTTGTGGGGCTGTCCACTATACCCTGGGATGTTTAGTTACGTCTTTGGCTTCTACGGGCTGGAAGCCAGTGGTCACCTCCCTGCGCCAGGGAGTTGGGACAGTCAAAGGCATCTCCAGGCGTTGCCAAATGTCCCTCGTGGGGAGATGGGAATGTCATTCCCAGAACCACTGAGAGGGAGCTGAGAAGCAGTGGGCTCTGAGGAAGACGTAGAACCATGAGAATTCCCAGAAAACTAGAAATGGAGCCACCATTTGACCCAGGGTTCCACTCCTCAGCATATACCCAAGGGACTTAAAGTCAGCATACTATAGTGATGCAGGCACATCTGTGTTTATAGCAGCCCAATTCACAGTAGCAAAACTATAGAACCAACCAAGATGCCCTTCAACAGATGGAAAAAGAAAATGTGGTACATATACACAATGGAATATTAGCCATAAAGAAGATCTTTCTGATTTTTGCAGTAATGGATGGATCTGGAGAATATCATGCTAAGTGAAATAAGCCAGTCCCCCCGAAAAAAAAAAAAAAAACAACACAAAAAACAAAAACAAAGGCTGAATGTTCTCTCTGATAGGTGGATACTAACTCACAGTCAGGGAGTTGGGAGGGAAAAATAGAAGTTCAGTTAATTAGACTAAGGGGAATGAAGGGAAGGGAGGGGAACAGGACTAGGAAGGACAGTAGAATGAACTGGACATCACTATGCCATGTGCATCTGTGAATACGTGACCAGTGTAACTGCACATCATGCACAACCACAGGAATGGGATCCTAATTAGGATAAGTTATACTCCATATGTCAAAACACACACTGTCATGTATATCTAGAAAGAACAAACAAACAAAAAAACCCAAAAAACCCTGAGTGTTCCAAGAAAAGGGAGTGGTCCCCTGCATCCTGTCCTGCTGAGAAACCAAGAGAAGCCAGAGACAGGCCTGGCCTGTGGTGACCCAGCGGGAGTGGATGTGCAGGGCCAGCTGCAGGGGCTTCTCCCTGGGGGCTCTGGAGAGAGCAGGAGGATCAGGGACCGAGCCTGGAGGCACAGGGGCGGGAGGACCGGCCTGTGAACGGGAGGCAGTGACAGAGGAGAGGGGGCGACTGAGGCCCCAAAGGACCTGCCCCTCTAACAGAGGCAAGAGTCTGAGCTCAGGGCAGGTGGGTGCAGGGAGCGGGGTTGTGCATGCCTTGGGGGTGGGGAGAGGCTGGGAGGTTAGAGGGGGCGGGCAGCGTCCTGGGGGAGTCCGGAGACACTGGTGGTGTATTCCAAGCCAAGCCGGTCGATGCCGTGTGTTTCACTCCGGAAAAAGCAGATGCTGGTCAACAGCAGGATGCGGGAGGATGACTGAGGTCGGACGGAGGGGGCTGGGGTTTCGCCAGGTGACTAATGACAGGGAGAGGATGACTCTAGGGGCTGGGAAGGGGAAGGTCACGCAGGGCGTTCTGGGAAGAGGGTCCCAGGGACTGGAGAGATTGGGGCCTCTGGGGAAGCAGGGTGTGCAGCCCCACGGGGGTCAGTCCTGGGAGCCGCTGGGGCACCCTGAGAGATCTGGGCCACCACCTCGCCTCTCAGGCCTGGAGAAGAAGTAACTCCAGGGCTTTCACCTAAGATGCCCCGCGTCTCTGTAGGCTGTGTCAGCCAGGGCAGGGACAACTGTCTTATCATCCTTTGAAAAAAGTGCAATTGCTTATGTGCTAGGTCACCTTTTCCCTAGGGCTTCTCTCTCCAAGGACATCCCTTGGGCACCATCCCTTGGGCACGATCTGTCAGGGCCCATGTATATCATACCTGCTGCCACTGTCCCGCACCACCCAACAACCTTGGGCCAGATGTGAGGACAGGGAAGTGACATTTGCTCTAATGGAGGGGCAGAGGCAGTGACCCCGTGGCACCCTGTCTAGATACGATGTGCTCATGTAAAAGAGGTGTTGTGTGCATGGCATCAAGAAACCTGGAGACAAGGGGCCCTTCCTCTGCCTGGGAGGGTGGTGACAGGTGAGTCAACCTGGAAGAGCACATCAGGAGGGGTCTCAGAACAAACGGGCAACAGCAGCTGGTGAAGCAGGGTCCTGATTGTCCCCTTCCCCATGTAGATGCTGAACTCTGCCTCTGCTGGTGGAACAGGATGACAGTGGAAGTCAGATCCAGTTTGGGAAGAGTGGAAGACTTGCTGGGGCACCTGCAGCCCTGTTGGGGCACCTGCAGCCCTGTTGTACGGGGGAGATGGAAAGCCATAGGCGGGAGCAGCCTTAGCAGTAGCACCCACCATCTTGAACAGTTGGAGGTCCCCAACACAGCCCTCGTTGGGGGGTTGGGAGGAGGTGAGCAACAGAGCTCACAGAGCCTGGGGCACCCTTCCAGCTTCAGGTGAGCATCTCCCAGTTCTGCCTATCTGCAGACTCTCCTCCGGGCTATGCCCACCTGGGCTGGTGCCCAACAAGGGTGCCCAGCATGGCCTGGCACTTGGTAGAACTGGAGTTGCCCCTTCAAGGAAGGCCCAGGTGTGCATGTTGGGGGTGGTGAAAAGGTACTCCTTGAGGGTGCCCAGATTCTGCAGGAGCAATGGGGACAGGCAGGAAATTGCGTTAGTGGCTGTTCCCAGTCCCCCACCGCCACCTTCACCCTTCCTCAGTGAAGGGATGACTGGGGTACCTCCATCACTGGTGAAGGTGGGTGCAGGCCCTCCCAGGTCCGTACAGTGGGAAATCCATCCCTAAACCTCTCTGGTGAGACCTGGAGTGGGCAGGGGCAAGGCAGCAGCACAGTCAGCAGGGTAGCAGGGCAGGAGGGTGGGTCAGCAGGAGATCAAGGAGAAACCTTCTGGCAGCACGTGGCCAAGTGACTGGTCTGGGCTGCTCCCTGTCTGAGCCTGGGTAGGGGCAAGACTGTGTGGGCACCCAGAGGCCACACATCTTGTTTCCATGGAAGTGGGCAGGCCGGGGGTGGAGCTCTGGTGGGTAGGCTGGCTCATGTTGGGGGCTTGGGGGAGACCCCACTTTCAGAGATGGATTGATGCCTACCCACACAGACGATGCTCTGCAGGGCCATGAGCTGCACATCACTATGTCCAGCCCGGGTTTATGGCTTCCGGGGCCACAAAAAAGCAAGTGCTCCGAGCTGCCCAGGCTGGTGCTGGTGTTGCAGGGACAGTGCCGGGGGAGGAGGGTACCTGAGCCAGAGAGTGGCTCAACAGCTCTTTAAGGGCGGGCATGGGGCGGGGGCTTAGTGTGCAATTTCTTCTCACCCACTCCTCTGTCCACCGCCACCCCAAGGGTACGGGGTGGGGGAGCAGGGAAGCTCCTCCCTTCATCGCTGCCCCTGAGACCGGCTTTTTCTGAACTGCCAGAAAAAGACCTCATCCCTCCTGGGCACTGGATCTCCCCGCTGTGCACCAGGGCAGCGACCTCCTCTTCCCATTGGTCAAAATGCTGGCGATCGTCATGACCCCATGCAAACCTTAGCCTGTCTCAGCTGCTGCTTCGAGTCCACGCCAGTTTCCTTCTTACCACCTTTGCCCGCAATGGAGCAAAGTGAAGCAGCAACAGGAAAACTGAAATCGTAAACCCCAGGCTGAAGAGCCGCTTCCCACTTGGGCTGGGCCTTTTCAGCGCCTCCAGGAGCGCGGACTGTCCCAGCACGCGGGCGGCAGCAGGGGGCGCTCGCAACCCGGAGACGCTCGCCTCAGACTCTGCAGGTCCCTGGAGTCCAGTCAGGGTGGAGCGAGGGATTCGGGACAGTCTCCCGGCTCCCACCCGCTCTCCGCTGGGTTGCCTCATGGCTAGGGTGTGGTTAGTTATGCTCCAGCGCCCCAATACTCCCCCACGCTCTCCTTTGGGCTGACTGGGCGACAGGAGGGGAGACCAGCTCGCACCCTCGCCCTTGATCTGGCTGCTCGGGTCCCAGCCTCGCAGTCTCCTTCTCAGTGCCCGCTGACGAGCAGCTCGGCCTCCCGGGTCCCCGCAGGTACCGACCCTTCCTCTTCGGCACTCATCCTTCCCAGAGTCCCCAAGGTCCCAGACGCTGGGCCCCTCTGACCTCCCTCCGCGTGGCGGCCGAGAGGAAAAGCGGTAGGGGCGCCAGGCGGAGGCCAGGGTGCGGGGAGGCAGCGCTCCTGCAAAGCGCATCTTCCAACCACGCTCCTCCGCCCGCGCGCCCCCGCCCCACCTCCCGCTCCCGCCTCCAGTCTCCTCCTCCTCCCGCGGCTCCCGCCCTCCTCCCCACTCCCCTGCCGCGGCGGGTGCCTGCAGGCGCGGCTCCGGGCGAGAGCCGGCAGCGGAGCGAGCTCCTCGCTCTGCGTCTCCTCCCAGGACCGCCGAGCACACCCAGTCGGGTCTTCTAGGCTCCGCGCCCGGCGGTGCATCCGGCCACCCTGCGGTGCGACAGCGCTACTTTCCTGCAGTCTCGGGCGGGACGGGGACGACCGCGGGACAACTTGGAAAAACTTCTCTGGGGCAGACGGCAGGGACGCTGGGCGCTGGTGGAAGAGGATGTAGGAGGGCGGTGGCTGGCCCCGCGTGTCCCCGGACCTCCTAGGCACCGTTCGTCCGGGCCATGGGGCTCCAGCGCCTTCAGCATCGCCGGGGGGACCAGCCCTTCGCCTAACCGAGCCGGGGTGCTGCTCTGTCCCGCCGTGCGTCCGCCTGGCGGGCAGCGGTGCCACTGGCCATGTCCGGCCCCACCATGGACCACCAGGAGCCCTACTCTGTGCAGGCTACAGCTGCCATCGCGGCAGCCATCACCTTCCTCATCCTCTTCACCATCTTCGGCAACGCGCTGGTCATCCTGGCCGTGTTGACCAGCCGCTCGCTTCGCGCACCGCAAAACCTGTTCTTGGTGTCGCTGGCTGCCGCTGACATCCTCGTGGCCACGCTCATTATCCCTTTCTCGCTGGCCAACGAGCTGCTGGGCTACTGGTACTTTCGGCGCACATGGTGCGAGGTGTACCTGGCGCTCGACGTGCTCTTCTGTACCTCGTCCATCGTGCACTTGTGCGCCATCAGCCTGGACCGCTACTGGGCGGTGAGCCGCGCGCTGGAGTACAACTCGAAGCGCACACCGCGCCGCATCAAGTGCATTATCCTCACGGTGTGGCTCATCGCAGCCGTCATCTCGCTGCCGCCCCTCATCTACAAGGGCGACCAGGGCCCCCAGCCCCACGGGCGCCCCCAGTGCAAGCTCAACCAAGAGGCCTGGTACATCTTAGCCTCCAGCATCGGCTCTTTCTTTGCACCCTGCCTCATCATGATCCTTGTCTACCTACGCATCTACCTGATTGCCAAACGCAGCCACCGCAGAGGGCCGGGGGCCAAAGGCGGGCCAGGCCCTAGTGAGGCGAAACAGTCCCGTCCTGTCCCTGGGGGCACTTCAGCCTCGGCCAAGGTGCCAACCCTGGCCTCTCCTCTGTCTTCTACTGGAGAGGCCAATGGACACCCCAAGCCCACTGGGGAGAAAGAGGAAGGAGAGGCCCCTGAAGAGCCTGGGAGCAGGGCCTTGCCCCCCAGCTGGACTGCCCTCCCCAAGGCAGATCAGAGCCAGAAGAGGGACCTTTGTGGGGCATCTCCAGAGGAGGACGCTGAAGAGGAGGAAGAGTGTGACCCTCAGTCAGTGCCAGCGTCTTCTGCCTCCGTTTGCAGTCCCCCCTTGCAGAAGCCACAGGGTTCCCGGGTGCTGGCCACCCTACGTGGACAGGTGCTCCTGGGCAGGGGTGTGGGTGCTGTGGGTGGGCAGTGGTGGCGACGGCGGGCGCAGCTGACCCGAGAGAAGCGGTTCACTTTCGTACTGGCCGTGGTCATTGGGGTCTTTGTGCTCTGCTGGTTCCCCTTCTTCTTCAGCTACAGCCTGGGTGCCATCTGCCCACAGCACTGCAAGGTGCCCCATGGCCTCTTCCAGTTCTTCTTCTGGATTGGCTACTGTAACAGCTCCCTGAACCCTGTCATTTACACCATCTTCAACCAGGACTTTCGTCGTGCCTTCCGAAGGATCCTTTGCCGCCAGTGGACCCAGACAGCCTGGTGAGCTGCCTGCCACCGCCCGTGTGGGGTTGGTGCCAGCGCCACCCTGTCTCTTGTCCTGCTTTATGTGGCTGTCTCCCTGGGGCTCTCTGGTCCCTGCGCAGTTCCTACAGGTTTCATCCTAGGAGTCCCCTTGGAGGGGAGGGGGAGGGGCAGAGATGCTGTTGACAGGGTCCATCTGAAGCATCCCCTGGCTGGCTTTGCTGGGGGGACCTCTTCTCCATCCCCTGCCCAGGCACAGGCAGATGGATGCAGCTTGGACCTTCCTGAATGTAACAGAGACCAGGTCAGAATAGAGCACCTCTGGGCCAGGCCCCTGCAGGCTGATGGATGGGCTTCCCTTTCTTGAAACCCTGAGTGCCTTGGCAGGTCATTCACTTGGGGTGTTTTTGTTTCTTTCGTACCCCCTGATCCCCCGATCCCTCCAAAGAGCAGGAAGTCCACCTTCCACTTCCCCCAGGAGGGCCTGCTGCTGAGGCTGATGAAGAAGTGAAGTCTGTTCGCCCACATGGGCACCATGGTCCTCCCTGGTGCTGGGATGGGGTTATGGGATGGCATTCTCTGGGCCCATCTCTCCCCCTTGCCTCTGGTTTTGGATCTGTGGCTCCTTTAAAGGCCAGAACCATGCTTTGGCTTCCCCACCCGACCCTCCTCTGGGAGGCAGGTAGGCACGTGGATGCCTCTGTAGGGAGGCTTGGAGGCCTGGCCTCTGCCTCATGGGAGATCCCCGATCACTGGCACTCACCCCTGCAAAACGCAGGGTGACAATAACTCGCCGCCCACTTGCTGCCGGAGATGAAAGGCTTTGCAGAAAGCTCTGTGCTCCACGGGGAACATGCTAGAGAACCGTCAAATGTGATTATCCGGTGATGTAAAAGCCCCTTTTCTCTGTGCTTACTGCCACCCGAGTTCCTGTAGACTTTTGTTCTGTCCCTGGGGTGTGTGAATTCCTACCCCAAACTGGAAGCAGAGAGCAGCTCACAGTACTGCTATTTGAAGTCACAGGATTTCTTTGAGAACGTGTTCTTGTGCCCACAAAGGTTTGAGTTATTATGCCGGTGACAGCTTCTTGATGTGTCACCTGCAACACCAAGAGGATTTGCATGGCTTGCCTCCCACCCCAGGAGGGAATAAGTCTTTTGTCATCAAACAGGAAAATTTTCCCCCAAAGATGGCTAAAAATACCCACATCATGGAAGGAGTCTGAGCTGAGAGCCCAAGGAGGGAGGCAGAGCCCCCAGTGGGTGCAGAGGCCGGAGCAGGCAGCGAGGCCCTGAGGACCGCTGGGGGAGCCCCAAGCTGCCGTGCGTGGACAGGTTTCTGACCTCCAGCTGGGTTCCTGTGGCGCGTAACTCACCCCATGCCTTATTGATGGAGAACTGGGCAACGACGCTGCCCTGGGCTGGGGGCCTGTCCCTCTTGGTCCTCTCCTCCACCCGAGATCCAGGTACCCAGAACAGTCTCTAAAGCGCAGTGCCCCGTCTTCCCCAAGGGCTGCTTGGCGTGTGGCCTGCCAGTGTGGGGGTTGGGGTGGGCTGAGTGGCACAGGTTGTTGGCACTCTGATGAACCTGCCAGATCCGGAAGGTGCCGAAGAGGTTTTTGGGGGAGAGTGGCGGGGACCAAAAAGATCCGAGCTTGGTCTTTGGCCAGTTGCAGCTGTGAGGCCAGGACATTGGCTTGGGGTGTGGCTGGTGGGCTGGACCCAGGGGAGGGATTGACATGTGACCATCTGCTGGCCCATCTTTTGTGTGCTGCATGGGACCCCTGGTAATGTGGCCTGTGGCCCTCTTGTGACATGCAGGCATTTTTAAAAAGTCTGAGCTATTTTATCAATAAAGGATATTTTGTAATAAGCAAGCAGTGTCATCATTGTCCCAGGGACGTCACACTCCAGGTGTTAGCCCAACGAGTTGGGGCTCTCTTCCAGGGCCACCGTCCTCTCCTCCCCCGCCCCCTCCCCAACACCTGCCTGTCAGCAGCCTTCCTCATCATCACAAGCAATGGGGTGACTGTGGCTGCCTGGAGGGGAGAGAAAGGAGAAAGGAGGCTCCCTGGAAGAGGAGGCCTGTGGGTTGGGTCCTGGGCGAGGAGCAGGAGTCCACCAAGAGGCAAGGTAGGAAGTGTGGAGTTGGCTAGATGAGTGATAGGGTTTGAGAGACAGCCCCAAGCTGGTCAGGGCCCAGATATGGTGGTTGGACACCACCCACATGGTTAGGAGGAACAGAGGGTGGGAGAGAGGAAGGCCATCCACTCCCCTGGGGACTGAACCCAAAGACGCTTACACAGCCTTTTTTTTTTTTTCCGTTGTTGATGGACCTTTTTAAAATTTATTTATGTGGAGTGCTGAGGACTGAACCCAGTGCCTCACACATGCTGGGCAGGTGCTCTACCACTGAGCCCCAGCCCCAGCCCCTCCCCAGCCCTTTATAGAGACAGGGTCTTGCTGAGTTACTTAGGGCCTCGCTAAGTTGCTGAGGCTGGCTTTGAACTCGCCATCCTCCTGCCTCAGCCTCCAGAGCCGCTGGGAAGACAGGTGTGTGCCTCGGCGCCTGGCCAGGAAGGCCATTTTTTTCGGAATGGCATTAAGCCGCTCTCTGCAGCAAGGGGTAGGAGCGGGGAATGGAGCTGCTTCCCTTCCGCTGTCCCCTGCTAAGACTCAGCCCCAGCCTTCGGAGCTGGAAGGCCTGCTGAGGTCATTCCCTGATGGACATATGAGGTCCTCATGCTGTCCCGTGAGTGGGAGTAAGAGTCAGTCCTTAGGCCTTAGGGAGGGCAGCCTCAGGGCCCCAACTGGACTGGTCTGGCTCCGTGAGCAGGGGAGGTGACGGCAAGCTGCTACAAGGACACCATGGGCAAGGGGACACCTGTGGCAGACCCCGGGGAGGGAGACCAGGGGGTGGGCCGTGAGGCCAGCGTCTGAGGTGTAGGGGCCACGCCTCTGCTAGGAATGACCAGTGGGGGTCCCAATGTGCCCACCACCCTTGGTGGATATAGGCTTTGCTGAGGTCTAACAATAAAGATCTGCCCTGCCCTGCTCCAGCTCCTTCCAGTGGCCAGGGCGCCCTGTGCCGAGGCCCTGAGGCCACATGCAGCAGAACGTCTCAGTCTGTCTTAGGTCAGCCCAGGCTCCTCTGCTGTGCCTTGGGTGAAGGGGTAGGTCCTGGGGCTTGGGAGTAGACTCCCTGCCCCACTCTGGACAGGAGCAGCAGGTCAGCCTTGCTGGAACGGGACTGTGTGAAGCCCATTCTGAATACACTGTCTCACTGAATCCTCAAAACCTTGCTGGAGTGGTCATTTTTACAAAAGAAGAAGCTGAGGTTCAAGGTCACCCAGATGGGTCATGGAACCATAAAACTGTAAAGTTCAGGTCCAGAAAAATTGTGGTTCCATCTCTTGAGTAGCTCTCGTTCAGTGACATCTTCTGTCTGGAGGTACTGAGACTCTATTAGGCTGGGGTCAGTAGGCAGCAGTGCTGTGATCGATTGCTCATGTCTGTGCTGGCCACAGACCGTGTAAGCTATGGTATATATGTCTCAGGTTTTCCGTTTCTGAAAGCTAAGCGCAATCCATGAATTTCACTGAAGAAGAGATGGATCCCAGAGACAAATGATGTGCCTCAGGTGGCCTCACACAGGCACATGGTGGCAGGACTGGATCTAGAATCCTGGTGTCCCAGCATACTGCACCTTCTTACTGAAGGAAATGAATTGCACCCAGACTCAAGCAGTAACATTCCTGCATTCAGGAAACTTCTGCTGGCAGCCTGCTTATGTCAGGTCCTGGTCTAGTCTTATTCTCATTTTGCTGCTTTTTTCAGTTCTCAGATGAGGAAGGTGGGGGGCAGAATCCCAGAGACTTGTCCAGAGTCACACAGCTAATAACGGTTGCAGGTGAAGCTGGATCAAGGAACCTGGGTTCCCAGTGTGGCTTTCCCTCCTCTCATGCCACATTCCTGCAATTCTCTGTTAGTAAGACCTGCTCTTGATTCCACCCTCAGCCCATCTGAAGGTGACTGGATTGATAAAGTGGGCCCAGAGTGACAGAGATGGGGAAGTGGGGTGGGTGCAGCCCTTTCTTCCTAGGGACCAATCCTGCCAAACACCAAAGAGATGAGAACAGGGAGCCTTGGTAGTTCACCAGATGGCAGTGAGATGTCTTGGTTGGCACACTGACCTTCTGTAGATCCCTTTCTTAATAAGCTGTCCCTGAGGGATGTGGAGGAATCTCAGTGAATAGGGAGGCTGAGGCAGGAGGATCACAAGTTCAGGGCCAGCCTCAGCAACTTAGCGATACCCTAAGCAACTTAGTAAGACAAGGTCTCATTTTTTTTTAAAGGGGCTGGTGATGTATTTCAATGCAAGGTGTCCCTATATTCCATTCCTGGGATCAGGAAAAAAAAAGACATCCCTGATAAAAGGGCAGCCCCAGCATGTGCTCGCACGCGCGCACACACACACACACACATTAAAAAAAAAAAAAAAAAAACAGGGAGGGAGTAGAGACCCTCCAGCCACCCCTGCTCTGGGAGAATCACAGTTCACAAGGGATACCCTTCGGACGTCCCTGCTTCAAGACAGCTACTGAGAAATTGGGGACCTCCGAGAATTTCTCTTTTGAGCATGTGTGAGAAGCTCTTGACCGTCCACTCAGAAGAGTGGACACAGGAGAGCCTGCTCCAGAGACCCGACGTGGAGGACAGCTGGGTAGCCAAGCTCCTGCCCGCCCCTGTTCCTCGGCATGATCTTGTGTGTGTGTGTGTGTGTGTGTGTGCATGTGTGTGCGCGTGTCTGTACATGCATGCGTTGCAGGTGCTGGACCTGGATTGGGACCCTGCCTACCCAGCTCCACCTGTGAACAGGGCTCCTCGTGGCTGGGGAAGAGGCGTCTGCTCAGCTGCAGTTGGCACCAGCCACCTCTGGTTTCTGGCCCTGGCCATTCTGCTCTCGGGGCCTGGTGGCTGTAGGTGGCAGAGCTGGCCGGGACTGCTCTGCCCATAGGAATCA